CACAATGGCCAATAACCGATTTCGAACCTTCGTCAGTGTCACAACCGCCGGAAGAGAAGAGACACGCTCTAGTGGCGAACGTTTCGAGCGAGGTTTCTCCAATCATTGCTCTGGCGAACCGCTTGTCCTCTTGGTCGAAATTATTGCGTAGCGTAATTTACGTTTGTCGATTCGCGAAGCTTTTACCGCGACGTCCGTATGTCTTAGCATCCGATTACAACTATGCCGAGTCGCTAGTATTACGTGAACTTCAACGTGCGCACTTCTCTGAAGAAATTACAAGATTACAATCGAATAGAGCTTGTAGTCGCGCCTTTCAACGCCTTAAGCCATTTTTACAGGATGGGATTGTAAGGGTAGGTGGACGCTTGTCCAACTCGCAATTGAGTTTCGACCAACGGCACCCTATAGTTTTACCGCGTAAAGACCATATCATGAACTTATTAGTCGATTATCATCATAAATTGAACTCGCACGCTGGCCCCGATTTATTGATGTCGATCTTGCGTCAGAATTATTGGATTCTTTCTGCACGTAGTTTAATACGCAATCGGGTGCACAGATGTATAGCTTGCTTTCGGGCACGCCCCAAGCCGTCATTTCCGGAAATGGCGGAACTTAGATCTTGTAGAGTGATACAATCGGTAAAGCCCTTCACGCACACCGGGTCTGATTTTGCTGGTCCGTTTAAGGTCACGCTCACTCGCGGGCGTGGTATAAGATCCACAAAGGCTTACGTCTGCATTTTCGTATGTCTAACTACTCGAGCAGTGCATATAGAACTCGTTGGTGATCTAAGCACAGCAGGCTTTATGGGTGCATTTAAAAGATTTCTATCGCGCAGAGGCCCTGTAAGTAAATTATATTCGGATAACGGTACGAACTACGTCGGTGCAAAACGTATTCCATCGGAACTACATGAGCTCTTAGCTAGCAAGTATTATAATTCGGAGTTCGCTCACATTCTAGCCGAGAACCGCATTGAGTGGTCTCTGAACGTCCCAGCCGCGAGTCATTTTGGGGGCAATTGGGAGACTAATATTAAAAGTCTAAAGAGCCACTTATACCGAGTAATAGGAGATCAAATTTTGTCCTTCGAAGAGCTAAGTACGGTGCTCGCTCAAATTGAATGCGTAATGAATAGCCGCCCACTTTGTCGGACGTTATCTAGTGACCCCTCGGAACCGCTGGCTCTAACTCCAGCACATTTTTTGACTTTAACGCCTCTAAGGTATCTGCCCGCCGCGGATATGGATGAGAACAGACTTAGCATTTCCACACGCCACAAATTATTAGATCGGTTAGTGCAATCGTTTTGGAAACGATGGAGGATGGAATACTTGCATACTTTGCAGTCTCGGCAAAAATGGAACACAGCGACAGAGCCTTTAGCTGTAGGAACCGTAGTTGTGCTCACTAAGGAGAATACGCCGCCTCTCCACTGGCCGTTAGGAATCGTCGAGGAGGTCTTTCCCGGTTCCGACGGAGTAATTAGGATAGCTCGCGTTAAGACCACGGTTGGGTCTTACCTACGTCCGGTTATCCGTTTGTGCCCCTTGCCTCTTCCATAATTTAAATTAGCTTTCTAGATTGAAATTGTAGTTTAATTTAGGTAATCTTAGCGTTAGTTAGTTATTTGTTAGTCGATCTTAGCTCTAGTTGTTTAGTTATTTTTTTTTTGAAGGAAATCCTTCAAGGGCGGGGGGAGATGGTTGCGCGGAAAACCATTCGCGTTTTTTATTTGACGGTAGGAACTTGTAGAATCATTATTCCTTTCCAAACAATATCATTCGTACCCTCCTATCGACACATCGGGGTGGTGGGGTGGGAGGGGAAAGAAGACGATTCTAGAACATCGCGTAATCACCCGAGCCGAGGATATATAAGACACGCGCGACCGATGCGCGAGCCTCTTCTCCCGCCGCAGTCGTCGTTGAACCAACGCTTCTCTCCTGACGCACCACTGGGGCCCCAGAAGTGTCTGTCCAGAGGAGGTTCCGGAAGTCGCCGCTATAGTGATCGACAGGAAGAAGAAACCCCGGTGAGTCAATATTCCTTAATTATACCTGCTTGCTAATAGTTTAACCCGCTCCAATCTGTGTTTTTTTCCTAGTCAAGCAGGATTCCTTTCATCGATTCGACAAGTAATAGTTTAGTTTAGGGAAGAGCGAGTGCATTGTACCGCACGCTATAGTAGTCGCTTTACGTAAGCGTAGAAGCAATCGCATATACAGTCCACTTTAGTTAATATCTCGCGTAATAGGTTTGAGGTTTGACCGGGGAACTAGATTTTCGGCAGCCTTAAACACGTGGCTCCACCAGCGTACGTTGCTAAGGTGAGAGCTCCACGTTAGTTTTTGCTCGATTGTTACGCCCAAGTACTTAACTTCAGTGGATGAGTTTTTGTGTCAGTAATTTGTCCAACAGTTTTATCAGCATTTACTGATAAGCTGTTATCCATAAACCAGTTATTTATGGTATTTAGAGCTCTTTGTATGATTAACGATAAAGTATTTTGGCAAAAGCCCCTCGCAATGATCACAAGGTCATCAGCATAACCTAGTGTGTCAATGCGAAGATCTGTCATCTTGTAAAATAGTCGGTCAACCGCAAGAGTCCAAAGAAGGGGTGACAAAACATCTCCTTGTGAGCAGCCTCTTGTAATTGCAACCTCAATCGAATTTTGAAACGGTGCTATTTTTGCATTTCTGTTTGAGAGCATCAACTTCACCTACCTGATGGTTGTGGGGTCAACATTTTTGGATGTCAGACCCCTAATCAGCAGTGATGTGGGGCTACTGTCGAAGGCACCCTCAATATCTAGAAAGGCATAAATAACTATTTCTTTATCCTCCAGTGCTTTTTCGACCCTGTAAATATTACTGATCAGGGCTGTTTCCGTAGATTTGTGGTAAGCATGCTGGTTGTAATGTATGAGTCTTATAGCTAAAGCTACATCCCTTATATATCTATCTATAACCTTGTCCAATGTCTTAAGAAAAAAGGAAGATAGGCTTATGGGTCTAAAAGACTTTGGTAAAACGTAGTCCTGTTTACTAGCCGTAGGTATAAATAGAACTTTGGCAATTGTCCATCGTTCTGGTATATATTCCCATGCAAAACTTGCTCTGACGATTTTCACCGGATAAGGAAGAGGGATATCAATATCCCTCTGTAGTTGAATGGGAATTATTCCATCCTCCCCGCTTGTCTTAAATGGTTTAAAGGAGTCAACAGCTCACTGCACCAGGTTTGGTCTTATTATCTTTGCGGTCCTACACCAATCCTCATAACAAGGCCTTCGTAGGGCACTGAAAGAATTTGAGGCAGAAGTCTTATGTGACACTGGGAAACGGGTTGACGCTAGTAACTTCAATGTTTTGTGTTTCACTATTAGTGAAGTTACCAGCAGGCTTTTTAAGATGCCCGATCTGATTAGGTTTGGCTTTCGATGGCATTTTGTGTAGCCTTGCACTGCGAGACAAAGACTCAACTTCCTCCCATAGCTTCCTCCACAATGCTCTATTGGCTTTCGTAATTTCTTTATTATATTCAGTTAGGGCTGCACTATAAATATCCCACTCTTTGGATTTTTTTTAACCCTATTAAATAGTTTCCTGGTTTTTTCCCTAAGTTCCTTTAGCTTAGTATTCCACTAAGGAACTTTAAGTGTTGAGGTCTTGGTTTTAACAGCACAGCTGTCCTCGAAGGCTTCACGGATACCTACGGTTGCTGTCTCCGTCGCTAACACCAGAACTTCAATGGTTTTGATGCTTTTAGAAAACGTTTTCAAAACCCTCCTTAGGCTATTTCTGTAGACATCCCAGGAGATCGGTTTTGGATCCCTAAAAGCAACAGTTTCATAAGTTAGTAATGCTCCAATCAGAAAATTAATGAGTTTGTGATCAGACATCGAGTTTTCACTACTAACATGCCAATCATTTATCCGCCTGAACATGTTATTGGCAGCAAAGGTTGTGTCTAACACAAAAAGAGGTTTACTATTTCCCCTGTTTTATGCGAGCGCGATTTTTTCAAAAATTACACGAACAATTATAAAATTATTTTACTAGTGTAACCTATACTGATGGGCAGGTTTTAGTATATAAAATATTAAGTTTTTCTTTTTTGGGTTCCGTACCCGAAGGGTAACCAACGGGACCTTATACCTAAGCCTCCGCTGTCCATTCGTCCGTCTGTCTGTCAGCGGGCTGAACCTCATGATCCGGGATAGGTAGATAGTTGAAAATTTCACAGAATGTGTATTTCTGTTGCCGCTATAACAATAAATAATAAAAATAAAAATAGATTAAAAATTAAATGAGGCTCCTCTTTTAGAAACGTGTCATTCGACACCATGTCTTACGATGGTACGGAACCCTTCATGCGTGAGTCCGACTCGCATTTGTCCAATTTTTTTAGTCTGAAATTTATTATTAATTAATAATTTATTTATTATTAATATATTAATTCTTAATTTGGTTAAAAACTCTACAGTACGTAATAGGGTAAAATATTTCTTGTCTTTCACAGCGGAATCATGAAAAATGTCCGTTTTGTTTTGGCAGTCCTTTGCGCGTTGCGGTCAGCTTGGGGAATAACGACAAAAAAAAATCAAAAATTATTGCAAAAATGTATTTAATTGAGTATCTTGTATTTACAACATATATAAACTTAATTACGAACTAGTTTTGGTAACTTTCGTTTGAAAATAATCACATTTTAATTTAAAGGTATCACTGTTGTTACCTTTATCGTATCTTAAAAATTCTAGTGTTAAATTTTATAACGATTGCAGTACAAAACAATATGGAATTTATTCATTTTAACGAGTTATTAAATAACGTCTAAAAGTTAGGTTGATAAAGCACCAACTAGGTCGTTTGTCAACGTCATTCTACTGACGGAAATATAAAATTTACTAAACTTCTTTAACTTATTTAAGATATCTTGTTTGAATAATGTAGTAGTAGATCGCTAAGGTCGTGAGTGAGTATAACTTATTTTCTAGGCGGTAGGTATTCTCTGTTAGGCTTTTGCGATGGATATCTGTCACCTTGATGACCTTGAGGTCTTCCTTCATTGCCACCAGTTGGAAAACTGGGTCCATTAGGTCTGCCAGACGGGTAGCCTTGACTGCCTCCGGGTTGAGATCCAGGGTAATTTGATGCACCTTGTGATCCGGGATAATTCGGCCTTTGCGAGCTTGTTTGACTTTGAGAACCAGGATATCCGGCACTTCCAGGGTATGAGGGCGTTGCTCCTTGTTGACCTGGATAAGGATATGACGGACCTTGTTGGCCAGGGTAGGTAGTTGAGGGACCTTGTTGGCCGGGATAGGGAGATGAAGGGCCTTGTTGACCGGGGTAGCTAGATGATGGACCTTGTTGACCGGGATAGGTAGATGAGGGGCCTTGTGGACCAGATGGGCCTTGAGGCCTTAGCCCTCCTGGATAACCAGTTGATGGGCTTTGTGGGCCATTGTTATTTGGATAGGAAGGTGATGATCCCTGCGCCCCTATGACTCCTGGATAGCCTGGTCTATGAGGTCCTGGGAAACCTGAGGGCGTACCAGTGGGATAATTTGATGGGCCATTGCTGCCGGTGTAAGATGGACCTTGCTGCTGTGAGAAGTCAGTCAAGCCAGATGATCCTGTTATAGAGTAATCATAGAGATTGGCATTCAGTTCGTAGAAACTGGGTGCAGAGTTGCAGTCGAACTGATTCCACCAGACGCATACGAATACCTCCTGAGAGAAGATTGTTCCATTGGGACACAGGAAATCATAAGTAATATTGTTAGCGCAAACATGAAAGACCTGACAACGTGTTTCAACATCAGCGTAATATCCTGGATACCGTTGTGCATTACAACTGAATGATGTTTCCGGAATGATAGAGAGGATTGGGTAGTCCTTGTCCGGTTCACCGGGTATAGCCGAATAATCACCGCCTTCGTAAGCTCCTGTATCATCGGCACCGAAACCGGGGCTGCCAGGACCAAACCCGGGGGTGCCAGGAGCAAAACCAGGTAAGCTGGGTCCAAAACCGGGCGAGCCAGAGCCAAGTGCAGGTGTGCCGAAACCTGGAGTGCCAGGACCACCAGGCCTGCTACTTGAAATACCGGGGTGTCCGGCTTGTCCAGTTTGTCCAGGGTAGTTAGTTGCTGATTGGCCAGGATAACCGGAACTAGGACCGCTGGTTCCTTGGTTTGGGAAAGACGGTCGGGACCCAGGATACCCTGTTTGAGACTGCTGATTAGTTCCCGGGTAGTTCTGATTACCACCACCTGATGGATATTTTGAGGGTCCAGACGGATAACTCGGTGTCGATCCCGATCCTCCATTTTGGTAATCTACGCCTTGCGGAGTTGTATAAGCTGAAGAAGTTGTGTATCCACCTCCAGATGGTCCAGATGGGTAACTTGGACGGCTTGATGGAGTTCCTTGATTAAAAGGCTGGCCAGGCTTGTTGTACTCGTAGCCATTTTGTGCCAAAGTTGCCACCAGTAGAACTGTAACAAAAAAAATGGTGGTTAGAAATAGAAAAGGAAGATGCTTTTCTAAATATCTTTATAATTTATGACGAAACAACAACATAGTTCATTTTACCTAAGGAAAGTTAAAGCTACAGTCTTATGCGTCCCTCTGCTGGGTACAGGCTGGGTAAAACAACGCGTTTTCTTTTACATAAATGAAGCGCATGGAAACCCCTCTTTTAAAAAGAAACTACCAGTTTAACTATTTATGAAACGATTAAAGTTTTTATTTTATTTTATGTAAGTCATCTTACGTTTCTGAATGGAATAGTTTGTAATATAAACTGTTTTTACATACGAGGTGCATGTAACTCCGTATGTAATACGAACGGGCCGTTACGGAGGACAAAACGTTTCTTGAATATAGGAATCGGTCATAAGAAAGAGTTATGAAGCAATTTGCCTGCTGAACTGTTCCAGTTTAATCGTAACATTAATATCTCGATTACTAATATTATTTATCAAACTCACTAACTATCCTTTGCTGTGGTACACATATAGTAAAAAAAAATGCTATATTGTCACACCATGTACTATGTAAGTTGTCGCTACGCGAACCGATTGAACATGGTTGAAGTTACGAATCGGCGGTACATGGAAAAACTTTTGTAAGTTTCTTTGTACTGTCGGATGTTATTTAATAACTATATTTTGTAAAAAAAATATATATATGATACTCGGTATGTAGCGTGACGATTACGTGAGTTCAGTGCTTTTTACCCATCCCAAAAGATTTCAACGTGCCTATAGATATTTTCACTTCAAAAGTTCCGCTCCATTAAACCCTTAATAAATAATTATATTATTTACTATATAATACCCGCTAGCTTCGTTGGGAGCACGATAAGATTTTTTTTTGCGGAACTTACATCAAAAATATCAAATTTTACAAACTATCGTAAAATTCGTTAATTGTGAACATCTACATTACGAAATGAGTTATATATATATATATATATATATATATATATATATATATATATATATATATATATATATATATATAGGTATATTCACTACAGTGGATAATCTGTGAATCATTATTCTATATTTTTCAGTATGACAAAAAATGCCAATATTTTTCTGAACTGAAACATATTAAAAACTTTGTCTACCCAATATTTTTTTAAAACACTTTAATTTGTCGTGTGTACATATTTTAATAACAATGTCTTGTAATGCTACTATGTAACGTACGTAACGTCATCAAATGGAAACTTTTTTGTCTTTGCTCGTGCCATGTCTGAGAATATAACGTGTATTTTGTCATTTAACTGTGAAGTAGAGACCCATCATTATCTAAAGTGTATACGAGTAACATAATATCTGACGTTAGGGATTGTAGTGTTATTGTATACCAAGCTTGAGGCATATAATACGGTACCCAGCATCTCTATGTGAATTATAGCAGGCGTATATGCAAGGTTGCCACAGGAAATAATCTGTTAAGTTAATAAATAGTAGTACAGTACACTGTCAGGTTAGCTATTGTGTGATACCTGACCTCTACGACGCAGCTTCGCATATCCTTATTTGTGCATAAATACCAAATGTTTGTTTTCGGGTTTGGTTGTGCTTTGAATTTGAATGTTGCCGTTTCGTCGACACTACTCGATGATCTTATAAAATACGTCATTTACGACCTTATTCATGAATTTCTGAGTAAAATGGTGATAGAGCACCGGTAACGTTTTAAAGCTCATAGTATGCGAGCAAACCGAGTCCCATTCCCATCAGTTCCACTGAAATCGTAAACTGAAATTTTATATGTTAGTAACGAAATTCAGGGGTAAAATTAACAAGTCATTAATTAAACTTTTAAAAAGGCTGTAGCGTAGTCAATAATAAAAGTATTATTCTCAACAACTATATAATTATTTCAAATTTATTTTTTAAAATATATAATTCGACAAAATCGCTCAAGTTTCCTAACTGACACCCCTATAATATGCGAATGACATCGGGTGGCTTGGGACAGACACTTCCCATTGAGGCTTTACGCAACGGCCGTTAATGGGGAAATTGTCGTAATGAATGCAATTTTACTCTTCGGGTTAAAGCTTGGATATTTATTGTGTGATACATTACCAAGTTTCGAAATAATTTAAGACACATTTGCTCATGATAGTTGTATTTATTTAATCCCTCATCGCACATGAGCTACCACGGCTCATTACGGCATTATAACTAACATAATTATATAGTACCCGGATGACCGGATTTTTTTTGAAATTACATTTATAAATTACATACTGATGGAACATAAATAATATTTTTTGATCTTATTGACAGAATAGAAAAAACTGAACTGGTTATTTGAATAAAAAATCATGAGTGCAATTAGTTTTATTAAAATTTTCGTATTTTTAAAAAATACTAAAAAAAGGGCTTGAAATAATAGATTTTCTCACAAAAGAGGGGAACTTGAAAAAAAGGAAAAAAGCCGGACCAGAGACAGGACGCGAACCGCGGAACTCCGATATCACGCCCGACCGACATCCCACCTGAGCTATTACGATCGTTAGCGTTCTGTCAAAATTTACCTTCTTATATGTAGCAGTTTTTTTTATTGCCTGAAAACACGGACAAAAGGGCATTTTCTAAAAATAAATCCTAGCTAGATCGATTTATTGGACATTAAATTTTATGAAAATCGTTGGAGCCGTTTCACAAACAGTCGAATTGAGAATCTTGTCGTTTTTAGTCGACTTTCAAATCGGCTAAAAGCTCACAAGGTGGAGGTCTCAAATCGACTGTATGTTTCCTTTTTTTGTATGTGCATCACCCGATGTCTTCGTAAATTACGAACGGATTTTCAAGATTTAAAAGAGGTATTTTCACTTCAGTGGATCCAGGGAAAAATAGGGGTGAAGCTTTTAAGTTAACATTCTAGTGTTAGAAATTCACCGGTGTAATAGCAATCTTCAATAAAATATAGGTACTAACAAAATAAAAAAATACTGATGTGATGGTGTATTTATTAAGTAAACATGCTTGAAATTAACATTTTTTAAAAGCTTCGTGACTAAAATAAATGTAAATAAAAAATTCCGTTCCAATAAAACCAAGGAAACATTAGATTAGTGTTTCTAAATCTAAATGCGACGGTTCACGTCTAACGTTAATGATCGTACTTAGATTTAATGACTTCATTTTAATGACTATATTCCCATCTTCACATTTTATTCGTGTTGAGATTGACGCTAGGTTTTGATTTACTGCACGTGCTATGGTTTTTAATGTGAAAATAACTTCAATAATATTATTATTTAATGTACTTATGTACACTTTATGTGGATGTGCACAGTTTCTTGGCTAATCGATTATTCTCGTGTATTTAGAGAATAAAATAAAAATAAAGTGAGTCATACATGTTCGATGTTTACTTTTTTTGTGGCTCTTGGACTACGTACCTGGTATCTTCTTTTTTAATAAAATAGGACAATATATAATAATAAAATAAAATATATAATAGGTAGTGACAAACAAGCACACAATCAACCTGATGGTAAGTAGTTGCTGTGGCCCATAGATATCTACATATATTTTCGATAATTAATCAAAATGCAGATGCGTTGTCACCCCTGAAGATTAAGATGGAATGCTCAATTCCGGTAAAACGGGTCTAAGGATCTCTGCACTCATTATACAAAACACAGCAGCATCAAGCTGCATTTTACGCTGGTATTCTGTGAGAGCGTGGTCCTTCCCCTACAACCATTATATAGCTGTATCGTGGCTCTACTAAGTAAAAGAACTCTATAACGCACAGATCTAGCCTTTCAGGTAAACTATATACGCTGTTAAATATTATGTACATTTAAATTATTTAAGAAAGAACTTTTCTTAAAAATTGCCAAATACCAAGCCTAAGAAAGACACAAGGTTGGTTACATTCGTGGACGTGTTTTTCTAGTTTATCCCAAACATGACTTCCAGCCTCCCGAACAAGCCGGTTTCCGAAAAGGCTTCAGTACCATAGACCACATACATACCCTGCGGCAGATTGTACAGAAGACCGAAGAGTACAATCTGACACCTTGCCTGGCGTATGTGGACTATGAGAAAACCTTTGATTCCGTCGAAATTTGGGCGGTGCTACAGTCCCTTCAGCGGTGTCAAGTTGACTGTGGGTATATCGAAGTGCTGAAGTGTTTGTACAGTAGGGTTACGATGGCTATCCGAGTACAGAACCAGAGTTCGAAACCTATCCAACTGCAGAGAGGTGTAAGACAGGGTGACCTCAATTGTGTCTCCCAACGGATAGGTCTTAAGATGAACATGGACAAAACAAAGATCATGTTTGTCATTGTCATCATGGGAGCGTTTTGCTCGAAGTTGTTGACAAGTACGTTTACCTGGGACAAATAATCCGACTAGGTAAGTCGATTCGGATTAATAGATCGATCGATTAGACGATCGGAATAAGACGGATTCAACTCGGCTGGGCAGCGTTTGGGAAATTACCACACATCTTCTCGTCAGGTATAACTCAAACTCTGAAAACTAGATTGTACAACCAGTGCGTGTTGCCAGTGATGACTTACGGATCTGAGACGTGGTCCTTCACTGCTGGCCGCTCAGCGAGCTATAGAGAGTGCTGTGCTTGGGGTTTCTCTGCGTGATAGACTCAGAAATAAGGATATCCGCAGTAGAACCAGAGTGACCGACATAGCCCAACGGATTAGAAAGCTAAAATGGCAATGGGCCAGCCATATAGCTAGAAGAACCGATAACCGATGGGGAAAAAAGGTTCTGGAGTGGCAGCCTCGTACCGGTGGGCGTAGTGTAGGACAACCCCCCATTAAATGGAGTGATGCCCTGGTAAGACATGCAGGAAGTCAATTGATGCAGGTGGCTCAGGACCATGCTTTGTGGCATTATATGGGGGAGGCCAATGTTCAGCAGTGGACTTGTGAAGGGCTGTAATGAATGAATGAATGAATGATGTTCTGTCGAAATTATTGGGCAATCAT